CAAAGCCACACACGTGCATGGATCTTTAATTTACAAGATTAGACTACCACAATATTAAATAAACCACAATACACCCATACATGGATTACTAATTTACTATATTTGATGAATTGGACCAACACAATAACTGATTTTTATCCGAATAAATAATTAAAGTCATGATCTTAAACCTGTCAGGAAATTTTCAGGTTATACCTTAGATAATAAAAATTATAAATAAATTATTTACACAGTTCTAAAATTCGTGAAAATGTACAGAATATTCAATAAATATGTTTGGGTCATTTTTCAAAAAGAATTTTTCATAAATAAGTTATAAATAATTCTATAAAATTCCCATAAATTTTATAACATAGATTTATCACATTTTCTTAAATTAATTCCATACTTAAATTTATAAATCAAACCCACAATCTCAAAATTTAGTATGAAATTAGACCTCTCAAATTTCATATTTTAGTTAGAAATTACCAGATTTGGCTTAATATAGAATTTTTAATAAGCTTTTAAACATATACTAAAATCTGTCTTACAGTAGCAGATTTAATTATAAATTTGTAAAAGAATGAGACGGTTATGAGAGTTTTCTTACTATGTTAGGTTGTTAACGATTTATCGTCCGAATTTGATTTATGATTCTGATCGTAAGATATGATTGTCCTGGCTCCATGATCGTCTTGCTAAAATTTCACATCAATCGGACGCGATCTCATCGTTGATCTGTCATTGGATTCTCTTAGAACTTTTAGTTGTTGATCATCATCTTAGACTTAGAATTTGAAAGATCTAATCCCAAAAATGGATTCTACACGGCGAAAAACTTAAGGGTGGTCATCCCCAAAGTCATAGGACCACTCGATTAACCTAAAGGTACTAGGGTGCACCGTAGCAGCATGGGCCGAGAAACATAGGATAAAATTTAAGCTCATCTTCTCCAAAGCCGTAGCATGCACGAACAGAAGAGACCCAGAAATTTGGTTTCAATGTCCCCAGTTCAAATACTTGTATCTTCTTCATCGTAACTCCGTTTTATCTTATTTTTCTGTCATTGGATTCACCTCACGGCCTAGTTTTTGGTTCACTACTCACACGCCTCGTTCTGTCTCTTTTTGCATGCCATCCGATCTCTAAAGTTTGACGAAAAAATTAGATTTTTTTTTCCTACCGTCTCGGACATTTCTTCGAACCATCTTTCGGACTCCATAACTTTCTTAATTCTTAACGGTTTTACTTCATTCTTTCGCCAATCTCTTCAACTTACTCCGTACTTCATCTTACATGATCCATTTTCCTCAATTCTTCCCGGAATGGATGGTTTTGGCATGCCGAAAGTAAGCCGAAAACCAACTTTTGAACTTCAAAATAAATTTCTCTAACTTTGCTTCTTTCTCCTCCATCTTCTTTCTTCTTCTCTTTCTTCACCTACAACACTTTGTGGATGGTGGTTCTAGATGATAATAGAAATAGGTGATGGTGGTGGTGCCGGTCCGACGGTGCGCCAATGGTGGTGAAATTCGCGGGTTGGCGATAGTGTGGGTTGAGGCCATGGCTATGGAGGTTGGGGAAGGAGGAAAAACATAGATAAAGGAGAAAGAGAGTTTTGAGAATGAGAGGTAGAGGGAGAGGGAGAACCGAGAGAAAGAGAGATATCAAATTAGAAGAGAAGCAAAGTGAGGAAGATGAAAAGAAATAAAATAAAAAAAAAAAAAGAGAAATAGAACACTTGGTGGCATGGCATCAGCATGCTCACCACGTTGCAGGTGGAATGCAAGAAAAACCTGGGGTAGCAACCCATGGTTTTTGATTGGGTTTTAGTACAGCAATTATATGGTTTCAGTGTAATTTGATTACCAAAAAAATATAGAGAAAAATATAATAAAAATATCATACGGTTCAGAAATTAATATTGAGTAATAATATAAAGTCAAAAATATTTTATTTTATTTTATTTTGAATAAATTTTCAGTATAAAAATATACAGACTATTAAATTCAAAATATTGTGAATAATTATTTAAGAAAATTAAAAATATACATATTATTTTTATTATATAAAAATACGGGTTTCACAATAACTAACAGTAAGAAGATAACAATAATTTTTGAATTAATAATAAGTACAAAAACTTGAATAAATTATTACAAAAGTATTTCACATAAAATTTTACAATTAATTTCGAGTAAAATCGAAAAAAAAGTATTGCGTGTAACTAGTTGTATCATAGATAATGTAAAAAAGTTACATATTTATGTCTTAAAATAAATTATATAATGGTAAATCAAATTTTTACAAAATTTGAGTAAAAATTTTATATACTAGTGATATCACGTCATTATTGACATATAATATCACAAACCAATAGTAAAACAACGTATGAAGGTTGAACTCCACATGCAAATATAACTAACATTCTAGTAATTTTTACATATATATAGTGAGATTAATTATATTTGCACATTAATAATGATTGATATTACTTTTATATTGAGATTTTTTCACAAAATTTTCATATATAAAAATATAATTTGTTATAATAACTTCATTTTCAATAAAACAATCACTATTGTTTTCATAAATTTGAAAATACCTTTGACATTTTATTCTAAATATTATTTTTGTTTAAAATTTTATATATACAAATATGTAAGAAAAAAAAAAAGAAAGAAAAATCCAGGGGGCCACATGAGCCCCTAGGCACCATGTGGCTCTGTATCCATTTATAAGTATATATTCTACCATTAAATATGTGACTTTATCATAAAAATTCCACTCATTCAACGACACTAAACGTAATTTTTTTTACAAATTGGCATTATAAAAAAATTGTAACCAGCTTACAAACTTTTGCAACATCAAATATAAAAAATTTGGACATTTTCTTATGCCAATTTCTAACAATGTTACACATGTTTGTGTTAATTTTACGATATTTTGCGATAAAATAATTTTTTCGCATAACATTTATAAAAATTTAATTCTATGTAAGAAGTATTTAAATGTCAAATTGTAAAAAAAATTACGTTTTCTGTGATTGAAATGAGTGAAAATTTTATGATAAAGTCACAAGATATGTACCCATAAATGGATACATACCAAATTATATTTTCATACATATATAGTATGTACATATATATAACTAACATGAGAGTATTTTTTGATGTGACAATTTGTTTTTTAAATTGTCTCTCTGCTTAAATTGGAGGGAAACTTGAATTTGCAATAATGCATTTTTTTGAAAACCAAACAAAGATCTTTTTCAAAATAGAATTTTCAAATCACTTTATAAAAAAATAATTCAAAAAAATGGAACCAAACATTGTAATTTTTATTTATCGCAACCCAAAATGTTTCGCTTTAGACCTAAATGTTCAAGCATCAAGTTCAAACATCAGATTTTATAAGAAATGTGTCATGTACCAAATAGAAAACATGTGTTTTTCTATTTTTTTTTATACGGTTTGAAAATTTATATTTACTTAGATGGCAGCTTCCAATTGCTTAATTATAATGGGTTGTGGCAAGGAGTTCAAATTTACTGGCTTTGTTTTATGGTGCTTAAACATAAAAATGACTGATTTAGGGGTGTAGGGGCGGTCACATTTTTTAAATTTTTTAAAAAAATCTCATATTATATTGATAATTAGTAAGATAATTTTCATGGTTTTTTTTTTTTCAAAATTTTTTAAGAGACAGATTTCGCTTCTTTAAGAGACTGATTTAGACATTGTTATAATAAGAAGAGAAGAATTAGCAAAGGTTATTTGTTCTCTCACCCAATAAATAAATAAATAAAAAATAGCAATATGTATATCAACAGTTCATCCTGTAACCGAGATAATGCATTGAGAAGAAACTTATAAAGATGCAATAAATATATTAAATAAAACTTCAATTTCAAAATAAATTTTCTGTTAAAATACTAAATAGCAGTTAGTGAAACACAAGATCAAATGTATTAATTGACGGGCCCTTAAATTAAAAGTACTATATAAGAGTCTCTCCTACTTCCCATACTAGCCAAGAGGGAAGAACAAAAACAAAACCAGAAATAGAGAATTGAAAATGGCATCCTTTTTTGGTAGGTGTTCCATGCTAGTTTCTCTTGTATTCATGTTCATGTTAATTGGTCCCTCCTTTGCTAAACAACATACTAAGCTCAAGCAAATATGTTCTAAGACTATTGATCAGCATGAGTGCATAAAGCTTATGAAATCTGATTGGCGTACATCAGTTGCTGATATTCGTGGCCTAACTGAGATTGCAATTGACTTAGCATCCTCCAAGGCTAGAGACATTCTTGGGGTTCTTAATTCACGTTATGATAACAGATAATATCACTCGTCAACCCTTCCATAGATTCCACAAAGGAAGAAGGGATACACAAGGCTACTCACTGGTTCTAAATTTTTTTTTTTTTTTTTTTTTTTTTTTTTTTTTTTTTTTTTTTTTTTTTCTGTTTCCCAGGTACAAAACGACGTCGTTTTTTGATTGGTGACCAAATTTATTTTGTCGCCAAAAAAATTTATTTCCCCCCTTCATGTTTCAAATTTCCCTCCACAAACTTTTGGAGACCAAAAGACCAAATTAGTCGCAAAAAAAGTACTTTCGCCGACAAACTTTTTTAGTCGCCAAATCTCAATCAACGGCGACTAAAATATCGGTCGCTAAAAATACAAATTTGGCGACTAATTTTTTTTGGTTGCTGAAAATAAATTTTTGGCGACCAAAAATTTGGTCGCCAAAAAATATGTGACCTTCCGCGACCAAATTTGTAGTTAGTCGGGAAAAGTATATAACTTTCTACGACCAACTCATTTTTTGGTCGCCAAAATATAACCTTCTGCGACCAATAATATTTGGTCGCCAAAAACAACGATCATTCGCGACTAATTAATATTTGGTCGTCAAATGTCATTTTTTTGCGACTAAAATTTTTTTGGTCGGCAAAAGTGGTCGCCAAATGTGTAAATTCTTGTAGTGAGCATGTGTGCATAAAGCTTATGAAATCTGATTCGCGTGCTTCAGATGCTGATAGTCGTGGCCTAACTGAGATTGCAATTGACTTAGCATCCTCCAAGGCTAGAGACATTCTTGGGGTTCTTAATTCACGTTATGATAACAGATATGATACGTGGAAGGACGGATACAACTCATTCACAGACCGATATGGCTCGTGTTACAAAAATTATCAGGATGCCATTAGAGACCTTGAACAAACCAAGAAACTCTTCTATGATGGTGACTATAAGCGCATAGCTGTTCAAATGAATGATGTTAAGGAAGAAGTTCGTGATTGCAAAAATCAATTTGAAAATTCAGCAAATTACTCATCTGACCGCAGAAGATGGAAAAAGGAATTTGAAATTTTGTGCGATGTAATCAAGGTTTCTTCTAAATCATTGTATGACGATTCATATTCTTCGTTTACCCGCCTTCCATGAATCCAAGATTTGGAAATCCTAAAAGGAATCGAGTATGAACTTGGAGCTTGATCACTGAAGAGGAAATCAGACATGTTATTATGAGCTGTGAGGGTAATAAAGCCCCTGGGCCTGATGGATTTAACTTTGCATTTATCAAGAAATGTTGCAGCATTGCGAAATCTAATGTGCTTAATTTTATGAGTGAGTTTCATCGAAATACATGTTTTGTTGGTGGAATCAATAGCTCATTTTCTTCTCTAATTGACATTAGGCGAATTAATTTGATTGGTTCCTTATATAAAATTTTTGCCAAGGTGTCATCTAATCGATTGAAAATTGTTATGCCTATGATCATTGGTGAGGTTCAGTTAGCTTTTTTGGGTGGAAGGAACATACTTGATGGGGTTTTGATTGGAAATGAGATAGTTGATCAGTAGAGAAAATCAAAGAGTAAAGTCTAATTCTCAAATTGGATTTTGAAAAAGTGTTTGACTCAGTTAACTGGGAATTCTTATTTTCCATACTCTCCAACTTTGGATTTGGTGATAAATGGATCAGAGCTTGTGTGTTTTCTGTTAAGATTTCAGTCCTGGTCAATGGATCACCAACTCTTAAATTCCATCCGCAAAGGGGTTTAAGACAAGGTGATCCTTGGTCACATTTCCTATTTAATATAGTAGCTGAGGCCCTTAACATCCTACTGTCTAATGCAAAAGAGATGGGTTTTTTAAAAGGAGCACATGTGGGATCAAATGGCTTTTCTATCTCTTATCTACAATTTGCGAATGATACTATCTTGTTTTGTGAAGCAAATTAGGAAGAAGTGGTGAACATCAAAAGAATTTTAAGATGCTTTGAGATCCTCTTGGGACTTAAAATTAATTATCATAAGAGTGTAATAAGTGGTATTGGGGTGAATGAGGGTTGTTGCATAATTTTGCTATTAGACTTAGGCTCCGTTTGGTAGAGTTGTGAGAAAGTGATTATAGATTATAGCTTATAGCTTAACAGATTATAAATTACAGCTGTGAAATGCAATCAAGCCCAGGGGCTTTAATTTGCGAATTTACCACTAAACATAGTGGGCTTAAAAAAAAAAAAACATACATTTGTTGAATTGTTCCAATTCAACCAACAAGCCTTCCTCCATAAGCATTCAAGCAGTTTAACAAGTAAGCATTTAGCCTCATGGTAAGTATGCTAGTCATGGTAATCACTCACACTCATGCAAGTGTGCTAAAACACAAAAAACTCACCTAGTACTCCAAGCTAAGAAGATATGAGTTAGAAAAATATGCATGATTCCTAACGATGCCAAATGTCTAATGCAACACATGCAATATGCAATTAATAGGCTCGGCCATTAATATGGCATATGGATCGATTTTGATAACATATGGTTAAACACATATTCAAAGAAGTATTTAAACGACAATGCAGTTAGAATGATGAACTAAGCCTTGATGCATGTGATACAAGACGAATGGATGCAAGCATAAGGTATGCTAATTGAAACATATCCCTAATCTAACCATCAAAAGTGGGTAAACAAAAGGGAGAAAGGCGTGGGGTTGGAAAACATACATTATTACATTACGCTCTCACGAAGGAGAGTCCGAATGAATAAACAAAGCTAATTAACTAACTAATTAAAAATAAGCTAGTTAAGCTAATTATTACAAAACAAATGAAATTAACTAAATTACTTAACTAATTATTACAAATGAATATGAATTAACTAACTATTCTAGTTAACTAACAAATTAAAAAACGAAATTTAATAATTAATTAAATACTTAATTAATTACAACACTTTACAAAATTAACTAGCTATAACTAATTAATTACAACAAGATTAATTTACATTCTACCAAATGCGTAAGTGAAAATGGACGAAGGTTGCATGCACAGTGCCTGAGAGCTACTCTGTCTACCCAAGTCACCTCTGTTTCACCTTCAGCCACTGCCTCTGTTTCCTGCAAAACTGCATTGATGGCCACATACTGAGGCCGGCCGTGCATCATTGATGGTCGGTCGGGCATATAGAGGGCCGGCCGTGCATTAATTTGGTGCAAAGCTTTGTTTTTGTGTTCTGAGGTGAACCAGTGCAGACAGAGTATCCTCAAGCTCTGTTTGTCCTTTTCTTCCTTCTCTGTCATGGGAAAGCCTTGAGAGAAGGTTAAAATTGATTCCAAAGCCATCAATGAGCAACATGATTGCTTGATGGTCTCGGATGCAATTTTGGACAAAAGTCAATGAAATGCAATGAATATGACCACCCCTCCCTCTTGTCATGGAATGAACTCAAAGAGGGTGGTAGAGACGCTTCAAGAATCATCAAAACACCATGAATTAGCGCATGATGACTTTTGACTCGACAAACTCGGCATAACATCCGATCAAGTCTAAGCAATTAAATCCATTTTCTTTATGTACGTTGATCCAATTTTAAACCAATTTGTTTAGTCATTGCCATTCATTAGTCCATTTGTCCATGGTGATTAAGTCCTCTAAAATGAGAGAAGCGTCAAATGGGAAGTAATTCTCAACATGAAAGAGAGATTACACCATTGACAATGAATCTCCGTAGAGATTAAGCCATTAAGGGCAAAATTCTAGTTCATGTATTGAATAACCATCAACCACTTGAAACAACTCTCAAATGAAAGAAAGAAGTGACAAGTTAATTATTATAATGAGGTTATTAAACATGGAAATGAGTTGAAGAAAAGCCAGAACAACATGCAACAAGCTATACAAGTAAACTTAGGAGACAACAAATGAACTAATCAAAGCTTGAAGTAATTAAATAAATTAGGACAACCCTAAAACAGTCCCTAAAGTGCAAAAAAATAGTAGCTAAAACCAAGAGAAGATAAGTAAAAAGAGTAGAGAAAAAGTTAAGGAACAAAGCCTAAGGAGGGGTGGCTAACCCCTCAACTTTTTGCAATTTTAAATCACATGTTTCAGCCTCAAAACAATCCAAAAACAGCCTAAAAACAGTGGCTAAAAGTGAGTTTAAAGAGCACAAAAAGATAGACAAAAGCAAGAGATATAAAGCTAGTAAACAAAATCAAGGAAATGTGGCTAACCCGTCCACTTTTGAGACCTTTAAACCATGTTTTTCAGCCTCTTTAAACTCTGAAAATTAGCATGTAAACCAAAGAAAAGAGTAGGAAAACAAGGGGTATGAGCTATGGGATAAGGTGTAAGAAAGGTTGTTAAACCTCTCTACCTTTGGCAGCCTTTTAACCCCAAGTTTCAGCACTTGGAATGGATCCAAACCAGTGTATAAATACAAGAAAAAGATGGAAATGAAAACAAGGAAAAAGATGACAAGCTTATACCTCTTGAAGAGAGATAGCTTTAGTTAAACAAACTTGATTCCAAAGCACCCTCAAGTTTATGAAATATGGTTTGAAACTCTAGCAAAAAGCTTTAAGAACAAGCTTCAATGGTGTATATATCATGTATGCATAGTTAAAAAAAGGGTTTAAAGGTTAAAGGAAGCAAGGAGGAAGATAGATGTTCTATCAATGCCTAAGCCTCTTGGAAGGTTTTTTTTCTAACGTTAAAATCTAAAGGAAGAGGTTCTATTTATAGAATTTGAGCCAAAATAGTCAAAAATATCTTAAAACAAAGATATTTGTGCAATTCCCGCCAGCTGTCTATCTGACACCATCGAGACCCGGCCGGGCCTCAATAATGCACCGCTAGGCCTCAATAAACAAGGCAAGGTAAAAAAAAACACTCTGGAGAAATTTTCATCGAGGCCCGGCCGGGCCTCAATGAGGCACGACCGATTCTTAATGGACCCGGCTAGGTCTCAATGACTGCACTCCAAGCCCGACTTGAAACAGGCATATCTCCTTCATCTGGACTCGATTATAGGTCATTCTTAAGTCTAGATTGAAGCCCCGAAAGTATACTTTCCAATGGTGGTAGCCTCATATCTAAATTCTAACTGGTCAGAGAGAGATACCTATTTTAGTGAATGTTGCTCGTTTCTAGCTTAAACGAATGGATGCCTAACTTTCAACAGCCACATCTCCGTCATCCAAACTTGGTTTTAGTTGATTCTTGAGTTCAAAGTGAAGCCCCGGAAGTCTACTTTCCAATGGTGGTGGCCTCACAACTAAAGTCTAAGTGTACAAAGAGATAAGCCTAGTTTGTGAAGACTGCTCAGTTTTTTCTCAACGGTTTGATGCTCACCTTTCCTAAACTAGTTTTCTTCTGACCCCTCCTATTTTCTTCAACTCCAAACCTATAAATAAGAGGTTTTAAAAGATTTTTTTTAAAGAGTTAACCTCTCTTCCATTCATTTCCACTTTGTCCCTACTGGTTTACCTAAAAGTGTAATGTTTTAAACTAAATACGAGCCTCGGACATCGTAGAAGCATTTGAAAAAATATTTTTGAAAAGAGGGTTTTAAGGTCTAAAATAGTTTGACCAAAATGGGGTGCAAGGTTTAGATTAGAGCTTGAATCCAAATTTCTTCACTAAGAATTCAAAAGATTGCACAGTGTGGCTTTCATCATCGGGTGTTCGGAACAAAGCGCCCAAGTCTTAAGGGCTGTCGAAAATGGGGTGTCTACAGTTGCCCCTCTTTGACAGAGTTCGAAGTCATGAAATAAGTAAGACTTGGACAAACAAACAAAATGCAGATGCAGTTGGGTGAACCCGAGGGTTGCCTACATATCCTGTTGCAAGGAATCAAACCAGCGTAGTTCAGGGGCAGGATTAGGGATGGCAATTACAACCCAGCCCGACGGGGACCCGACCCCTCGTCCCCGATAAGAGTGGTTTTTTCCCGAAAAATACCCCCGATGGCCCGAGGATGGTATTTAAAAACAAATCCCCGGTGATATTCGGGCCGGGGACGGTGATATATATTTCATCTCCGGCCCCGGCCCGGACCCGGTCCCGTCCCCCGCCCCGGTTATCCCCCGATTTATATATTATAGTTTATATATATATATATATGTATGTTTGGTTTGGTTACAGGCTGTAAACAAAAA